ATCCTTGCTTTCTTGTCTTCCATGTTCCACAGAACCTGCTAGGAACACATTATTAATCAGATACCAGTTAAAAGGTCAGGGTTGGTGGGACTGGGAGCAAGGCGACTCTCACACGGCACCCAGGAACCAGACAGCAGTTCACACCTTCTGCTGGCGCCATCAGCTTAGCAGCCAGGACTGAGCAGCTCCCCACTCTGTGCAGTGTTCATCAGGAGACCACAACTTCACAGCAGGGAAGTCATTCACAATAGTCCTCTCTGGGGGTGGAGCAGAAGGCACAACACCAGCAACATTTCCATAATCTCCAATCGGTTAATGGTTTGCTCAGATTTCAAGCAAATTGCTTTTATTTGGGTAAATATCATATGGCTTTAAGTTCTACGATTCTTTTAAACAGACATACAATACAAACTTAAGTCTCCTTTTTCAACTTATACTGAAAAGGCTCAGATGTTTGAAACCAAGACAAAGAGATAACCAATTAAAACTAGCAGTGAGCCGTTATGGACCCTTCATTATTACTTCCCTACACTGGGAGCATGTTTGGAAACACAGTCGAGGCCAGCACTGCCTTTTTAATATGCCATTTACTCATTTTTTTTTTTAACTAGACAGAAGTGATAGTTGTGCAACACTGTGGAATGTGCTCATTACTATTCGACTGTACACTGGAAATTTTATGATATGACTTTTTATCTCAATAAAACATTTTCTCCAATATTTTTCATAATTTAGAATTTGGCTAAATAAATAAGGCTTCTTCTCCGAGTAGTACTAGATAAAAATCTTACCCAGGGTCTTCTGTTAATCCAGAGGACTGTAATAAAGATTTATCTCAATTAAAAAAGATACAAGATTTTAAAAATTTTATTAGAGGGTCGGGTATGGTGACACACACCTGTAATCCCAGTACTCGCGAGACACAGGCAGGAGGAATACCATGAGTTGAAGGCCATCCTGGGCTACATAGGGAGTTCGAGGCCAACCTGAACTACATAGCAAAGCCTTGTCTCAACACCTCCCAAAATAAATTTTAAAAAATAAAAAATTTCTCAATAAAAAAATAAAAAATTTAAAAAGCACTTAATATTCATTTCAGTATTGCAAAGGATAACACATAAAAATCAAACTATTACCTGTGGTTCCCTCCACCCCAAAGAAGAGAATAATTCAAACCACATGACTTGGAATAATGGTTGGCAGAAGTCCACCTCTGAAGTGTCTAGAGGTGTCATTACTCCATTAGTGATAATGGCTATTGATCTAGCATCTTAGAAGAGCCAGCAGGAAAAATAGAATAAAATCTATTGATTCCACTGGGGCAGATTTGTTTTTACACATAACTACAAGTCTTTCGCCACCCATGCCCCCAACTACCCAGTTAAGATTGCTTAACCTGGGCGCCACACCTGCCTCAAGCACAAGGTCCTGGGTTCAATCCCAGTATGGAGGAAAGGGGAGGGGGAAAAAAAAAAAAAGATTGCTTAACCCAATAACTTCAAGAAAATTAGGAGTCCAGAACCTCTTCTTCTTCCCTTTGAGGCACATACCAGTAGTCTATTTAGAATATTAAATTCTTAGGGTGCTACTAAAAGCCAAAGGACTGCCAGGCGTGGTGGAATATGCCTGTAATCCCAGCACTCAGGAGGCTGAGGCAGGAGGATCACTGTGAGTTTGAGACCAGCCTGGGCTAAATAGTGAGTTTCAGGTCAGTCTCAACTACACAGTGAGACCCTGTCTCAAAAAAAAAACAAACAACAAAAGCCAAAGCCAAAGGACAGGACAGTTCCGAGGTTCACCTTACTTCAGGGGTTATATCTATCCTAAGACTTCCAGCAGGTACCTGAAACTGAGGATGGTCCAAACACTTTACCACCTCCTCTATATGAATATAAGTGACAGTTTAATCTGCAAATTAGGTACAGTAAGAGGTTAATAATACAACAGTTGTAGCAATAAAATATAACAAAGATTAAGACTTATGAATTGCTTTTTTCTCCAGTTTTCCATGCAATTATTTTCAGACCATGGATAACCCTGGGTAACTGAAACCAAGGAAAGCAAGAATGTTGTGGGGACTACTGTATTGTCTGACAAGTAGAGAACATCTCTGCTTTACTCTGCATGAACTTTAATGCCTCAACATTCTTCCTTTTCAAAATACTGTACCATACGTTATTTCTGTCCTGGTCACCCAGGTACAACCATCACTGCACAAATCCTAACATTACCAGGATGATTTCACTAAATATAAATTTTAACTCCCATCTCAGTGTTTTGTTTGTTTTAGTTGATATAGTCTCACTACGGAGGTCCAGACTAACCTCGAACTCGTGGCAATCCTCCTGAGTGCTGGGATTACAGGTATACACCGCCACACCTGGCAGTATTTCAGCCTTCTAAACAAAGTTCAAGAGTTTTCTGCACACTTTATACATTCTTCTGACTTATTTTTAGTTACTTATTTTGGTGCTGGGGATTGGAATTCAGGCCTTATACATGCTAAGCACACACTACCACTGAGCTATATCACCTGGGCTAATGACTTTCATACAAGGGAAGTGCAGTCGTGTAAGAAGTTACTATTCTGAGCACCAAGTCCACGTTTACTTTTTTCAATTAGGTATCACTCCATTTTACAGATGAGGAAAGTGAGTCAGATGTAGGCCTATTTCCTCAAAATCACAGTAAACAGGTTTGTAGAGGTCTTTATTTTAGACTAGACATTGTAATTTCCTCCATACTTTGCCAAGGAGCAGAAACACAAATAGAACAAAGACAACCTTCCCGAATCTGAACACAAAACATTTTATAATAGGTTCCATTCCTGAATAGCTACTGGAATTGGCCCAGTAGGATGCCATAATTTTTTAAGGTTTATATTCAAAATGGCCAAGTTAATTACTTGAAATAACTCAAATGTACTCCCATCTCTGCACTATAATTATAAATATTTTTGTTTGAAATTTAATTCTATTTTTGTTCTCTAATCGCTCAATTTTTTAAAAATGAGCTGAACATTAAAAGCAATGAAAAAAGTGTTCTCTAGAGGTCAGTGATTTGCATGTTGAGGGTAAATGAAATTCTAGTTTTTAGGACCAATTCCTATCTGGTGGAGATGAAGTACTCAATTCTAACCTGGCTCATCAGCTAATTTCTGCATTACCTTGGACAAATGCCATTTGCAAACTCCCTACCACCCCTTAGGTGCATTGCAGCCTCTGTGTCATTGCGTGACATCACTAGGTTGCTATGGATCTAGGTGCGAGGTCACTCCCGTTCTTGTGAAACTAGAAATGTGGAAAAATTAAGATTCTAAATAAATAACAAGAGCCACAGATATTTCCAATATTGATTACCTACAAAAACTCCAACTTGTATCATTTGATTGTGAAAATGGTGTAAAATAACTATGGCAACGTTTCAACACAGCGTTATTCCTCCCAATTTCAGAACCAAAGCCACTCTTTAATAAGATAAAAATTTTTCTTTTTTTTAAGTAATTGGTGTTAACTATGAAAGCTGCAGCATTGTTACCTGCTCAGAACCAGTAGTTACTCAAGAATTAATCTGTATTATATCTACTGCTTGGTTCGGTTAAAAGATTTAAAATACAAGATACACTCCATCCACTTCACATGGGAGATGCATGTTAAAACCTTTGTTACATAAGACAGGAAGTTAAATATTAAGATAGTGGGAAACCTGTATCACTAATTCTTCTAGTTTCATCTTATAATATTCACTACTTCCCCCTCCTCTAATATCAAACCGGTTGCCAAGCCATTAAATAAATGTAATGTTACTGACAAAATGGAGCAACAGAGTCTGGAATCTGCATCCTAGACAAAATGCGACAACTCGAGATTAGTATTCTCTTTTCATCAGCATGAGGATGCATTACCTTAAAAAATAAAAAAGCTTCGGATACATGTAACAAAACAAAAAACAATTTTTTAAAGACTTTTTTCCCTTTAAAATAACTCCTCCCAGCCTCCACCCAGCCTAGGCTCTCTGCAATATGACAAATGCAGAATCTTCTGGAATGACTTGATACTGCCTCCCACCACCGCTTTGTTTGCAATATCAAATAAGACAGAATATATTCTTCTCAACTTCAGGAATTTCAACAGACACGTGCCCACATTCAGAAAAGAAACAGCGTATGTCACAAATTGAACGAGTCGGCTAAAGATCACAACCTTTATTTTAAAGGTAATACCTACCCTTTTCAATACAAAAACGGTAAGAGATATGGAAACGACAAATGGAGAACAATCAATGGAAATGCCAGCGAGACAAATGTCCCCCTCCTTCCTAAAAGAGCCTAGAGGATTTGCTTAGGGGAAATGGAGAAAGAGAAGCCTTTTGTTAAGAAAAACGTGAGCCAGGTTTCGATTTTCCACCACGAAGCCGAGGTTTTCAGGAGTACCTACGTTTCTTCCGGGGAGGTTGCTTAAAAGATCCGTCAGGAGAGGCAGTGGGGAAGAAGATTGGGGGTGGGGGGTGGAAAACGGGGAGACCTGCTGAGTGAATGGGAAAGGCGCCGCCCAGACACCAGAGAAAGAGGAACCGCATCCATGCGGTCCCCAGCCCCCACGCCTAGACTGGGAGGAGGGGAAGTGGGGCACAAAGGATGCGCACGGCCCCGGCTCAGCTCCTCAGCGGACCCAGGGGCCTAAGACTCCGCTCCCGAGACCG